ATGTTACCATCTTTACTTTTTTTATTCTTTAAAAGCTAGAAAACAAGAACATGTGATTATTAACCTGAGCTCTTTATTGATATTTGAAATGCATTCAATAACTGTGAAAATACATTTTTTAAGTGTGACACTGCAACATTTGTGAGATCTTTGCAAGAGGAGATTTTCTTCTGTACCCACTCTCATATAATAATATGTATTGTATAAATATAAAATTTAACAATATAGAAACATATTGAAGTTTGCCTTAATATTTTTACCCTTTTTTTGCTGAAGAAGTTCAATGGTAAATAGGAAAAAATGATCTGAATTGGTCTGCATACTACTTTACTTTAAATTTCTATTTATGCATTAAGGGAATTTCAGCTGCTTCTATGGGAATAGCTGTTTGAATGCTTTTGTGTACCATATTAGGTGCTGAATAACCCATATTAGACAGATTTTAAAGGAACTATTGTAGCAATGATAAACAATTGAACACAGAGGCATGATTAAAATTGAACTATTGCATTTGGTCATTTATAATTATTTAGAAGACATAAGGGATTTTTTTTGCCTAACGATCTATTTGTAGTCATCTTCTAGGAAGGGCAAGAACCTTCCGCAGAATAACGTCCCACAGCTTTTCATTTGCTTTTTCCACTGAGTTACCTTAAGGGAGTTATAAGAAACAGTGGCAGGTATCACACATCACATCACTGTGCGTCATGGGCAGGTTTCGCCTGAGAGTCGTTTTCTCTGTGTGCTGCTGCTGGCGTCTCACGCATTGCTCTGGGTGCTGTTTCACTCTGGGATGGGTGCCATTACACTGCAGGCAAAGCTACTACTTTCGTCCTGTTACGGGGCACCACTTTCACCTCCAATGTAACGCCGAACAGCAGAAGAATGACAGAAGCAGCCCACGGATCTAGGAAGTTTGATATTAACTTTGGTTGTATCAAACAACAAGAATAAGCGCATGGAATGAAGCACAGTGAGGTGCAAATATAGCATCTTGTAAACACATTTATGTCCCATTATCACAGGTTTGAGATCTTAATTTGTCTTGTTTTTTCTTGCTAAAGTCTGAAGGTTTTCCGTTGCTTGAAATATCAATTAAATGCTCTGACTAAAAGAATGTGACTAGTTCCAGCATCCTCACTACATGTCAGATCATCCGTTGAATTAAAGGGGGACTTGAGGGAGGCCAGGTTGTGGAAGAGCAAGGTACAACTGAGCCCAGACACTGGGGCTCACAAGCCTACTTTAACAAACAGCCACGGGATCTTTAATAACCAAATAGCCAGGACTTTGGTTTAATGTCACATCTGAAGGACTCAGTTCTAAAGCAAAGTGTCCTCTGTCACAATACTGAGGCAATGTCCTCTGGGTCAAGGGGAAGAGAGCTAGTGCCCCACTGACACTGTTTGTGATGTAGGTCTCCCTTCCCAGTACTGTCCAAGCCCAGAACTACTTTGCTTCTGACATCTGATGAAGATCAGTCTACAAGGAGGTAACACTGCTTTGCTAAATGAACGTATTGGGATTCTGAGGTACATTATTTAAAAATTGAAAATACCTTCTTATTTTTTTCTTTTTGCCTTCATATATTTTAATCATCTGAACTCAACACCACTGACTGTGCAGTTGCACCTCAGCCATCTTATTCACGCTCTCTGATCTTTAATGCTGCAGGCTCACAGGCAGCTGACGAGGTACAGGAGCTGCTCCTGTAACACCTGGGCCAAATCAAGCCCAACAATCCATGTCTGTCCCCAGCACGGTTCAGGTACAGTAGCTGACAGCCATTGGTTGTCAGCTTTTCACTTCGTCCAGATTCTAAAATATTCTAGCTGAGCTACAGAGATAAACCTAATGTCTGTTCATAATATTTCAGCCACTTGCAACCCTGTCTTTAGAAACATTATCCAAAAAAAAAAGAAAGTGAAGCAATTTAATTCCTTATATGCTATATTAGGATAGACATTTTTTGTATTGTACCTACCAAAGTGAATCTTTTATACCAATATGTGTGTTCTTTTAAAAATAGATATATCGTAAAGGAAGAAAGTTTGGCTATGCTTTAGCAGATCTAAGTATAATGTACAGTATTCTATTATCTAATTTCTATATTCTACATTCTAAAGCAACATTGTTTGTTATAAACATAAAAAATACAGAATAAAACTGAACATGTATAAATGACAGAAAAATATTTTTATTAATGTTTCCACATTGTGAAAAGCCACAAAATACTGATCTGTATTTACCGACGATATGCAGATAAGTCATTTCTTAGAGAGTGAAAATCAACACCATTAAAACACTCTATATATCAGCCATTAATACACTATAAATGAACAACCAGATTCAGAACTCACAAGGTGCCTTGTGTTGCAGTAGACAGTCTTCATACAGAATTAAGAAATTATGCAGATTAATAAGTTATTTAACATGGTAGATCTACTTAAATGTTCAAAACTACTATATATGTTATATAACTTTAAACAAGCTACAAAGAAGATCAGTGTTCTCCGTCTTTCTGCTCAAGCGGCTAAAAGAGCAGCTAAATCACAATCAAAAGGCAAAAAAGTTTGAAAATGACTAAACCGGCAAGATGACATAATATTGAAGGATTCAGTTTCCATATTGCCCATATTGCTGAGATTCAGGTCTTCGGAGATGTCATGTTATCACCTCAGCCTTGTTGCCTGGGGTTTCTGCCACCACACACAGCCGCAGCTGAGGAAGACTTGAGGTAAGAGCCCAAACGCCTTTCAAAGAAATTCCAAAAATCGCTCTTGCGACGGAAATCTTCTGTGCTAAGAAGCTCCATGCAGTAAACTTTACCACAGGATGTCTCTGGAAAACGGTCTTCCACACTATGCCAAACATTTTCCTTCAGACTGAGCTCTACTGCTTTTCATTGTTAATGGGTTTTTCATTTTCCGGAACTTTTTAAGTTTAATCACTAAAAGATAGTTTTACAGACCATTATTGGCACAAATAAAGAAGTGTGTAAGATTGTGTCAAATGTTCCTGACATTGCCATCTACAGCACCTAACTAGACATCAGTTACAAGAACTTTAGCAATTCCACATATTTTGGTTCTGACTTTGAAAGTGTGTGATCTTTGTTGTTAGCTGTGTTTAGAAAATACACAAGTAAGACAAGACCCATCTGATCCTTACCAGACTCAATGACAATGTTAAGTACTAACAAATTAAATCTGCAGATTGTAAAAAGAGAGACTTGTAAAGCAATTCTCACTAGAATTGTAAACCAAACAATTTTGTTTTGTCATTGTACTGTACACATTCCTACGGGTGCAATATCTGGGATGTTCTCAAATCTTTGTTGTTTATTTATTTGGATTATTGCAGATGCTTTTGCATGCTTTTCCCAACAAGTGTGTCAAACATGCTGTTGTTTGGTGTAGCATACTACTGTACATAACAGAGATCCACTCATTATCAAACTGCCAGGCTTTTCAGGCTAGGGTCACAGCAACTTGGAGCCAATCCTGGAAGCTTCGGACTTTGACCAGAAAATCATTCTGGTTTAGTCATTGTGTCAACTGGTACAAAAGACATTTCTGTGGGAGAAATGTTTACTTTAATGTTTTACTTTAATGTTTTTAAATATTTAGATTACTATAGTTACTCTTGAATGCATATCACCTGCTGGAAGTATTAATGTCTCTTTAAAAAGTGCGTCAAAGAAGCTGTGGTTTCGATATGTTTGGTATTGGGCCTACCTTTAATGGAAGGAACAGCAAGCTGTTGGTGTTTAATAAAGATAACGAGGTGATTGCATGGTAGATATGGGCACTCAGATATAACAGATTACCTACAGTAGCTGTCAGAAAGTCTGCAGCTTACATAGTAGTTAACCCCCCACCCCAAACCCACCCCCCTTTAAAAGTAATTCCTTTTCTTTTGTCTTTGAATTTCAAAGCTTCACTTGCTACTGATGTGCTTGAAGCACGAATACAAAGCATTGTGAAGAAATGTAACTCACTCTTTACAGAAAAAGGAATTCAAGCACTTAGCCGTTAAGAGGTGTGAAAACCTCAAAAGGCTGAAACCTTGCTTATGAAGAGGAAGGGGTGCTCTGCAGATGCATACTAGAGACAAATTAGTGATAAACCAGTAGCACTCTTTAGATATCTCTTTTCTTTGTCTACATATATCATACTCATAATTTTCTAGAAGAATACATCAACAATTTTAAAGACGGCAAATCTCGGTGAATCGCACACTCGTATTATTGCTTGTGGGGTGCAGCAAAGTGAAATGTAAAGTGACTCATACTAAGCAAGCTGCCAACATTTCTTTCTAAGAGGACTTTCGTACTGCAGAAATTATCACCAAATAATTAATTAATAAATCGGTATTATGTGACATGGCACGTTAAATATGATTTCAGAGACAAACATTGTGTATTACAGAAAGTGAAAAAAAGAGTTACAGTAGGTGTGAACTGCTTTGCAAGAAAGCTGATGTATCAGCCTTTCTTTGAATTAGACAGCCTGGGGCAGCGACGAATGTTAAGATTTTTCTTCTTTCTTTTCATCAATGGTCTACGACTGATATTCAAGTGTGACTTTCATTATAGTGCCCGTCCACACACACACACTCATTTCACTAGAAAGCTAAGGGCCAGAAAACCAAATTTCCACCCGTCATCAGCCACTAACGACAAAGCAGAAACCCACCGTTCTGATCAGAACGGGGTGCCCCACACCCTTCTTGTATTCGTGCATCACGGTCAAACCTCAAAAACCACTAAGATGAAATTCAGAAATGCTCCGGAGAATCCATAAAAATGATCTGGGGGGGAAGATGTCACCTATAGTGCAGCGCGACACTGGGTTTTGTGATTTAAAGGAAATATGATGTGATGTAAAGCCCACAAAACCCCAAGTGCATCACCTTCCCTCTGACAACATTCAACTATGAAAACTATAAATACCCATGTATGCAGTATCTGGCATCATTCACCAGAGAAGATAGTTTGAGTTAAGAAGAGAGCAAGCAACTTTTAGACAGTTAGGTGATTCAACACAAGCAGATACCTTTACATTCTGATTAAGGACTGTTTGAGACGTGAGACTTCAAAACTAGGAACTAATGAATTCACTACAGAGGCTGCTGCTTTTCTGTGGACTTTGCGCAATATGTTTTGGAAATGGCAACTGCAACGACCTAGTGCCAGAAGATGTGAAGGAAGACATCAGAGTTCTAGCCACACATTTTGTAAGTATAAATAAAATGTATGCAGTATGCGGTGATGTATATGAGAAGTGGTATACTGTACAGTGCAATTCATATGATGAGAGAAAGAATGTGACTATATAACACTATATGACTATATGACCATATACTGCACATACTTCTCTTAGTATGGGTTTGGACATTCAGTCATCTTCCACAAAGTTTCATGCATAATTCATCAAACCAAAAGCAATTTAGAAAACCTTAATCACATTCGTAATCTAGTTTGCTGCGCAAAAACAAAACAACAGATCTCGAAAATGGCAACAAAGGCTGGATCTTCGTTTTGAATATTGGTAATTGTACCGCAGTTATTTGTGACGCAGAACAGTCGCTGTTCATTTCATGATATTCATCCAGTAGCTGTCAGCTGGCCATTGCTCTGCACAGGGTTTTGAAAGTGAACTGAGCAGCATTCTAGCTTGCACTGTGAAGGCATCGCAATTAGCATAGTAGGGGAATATCAGATCTTCTGTTTAAAAAGTAACAATCAGCATGAATGGTTCAATTCTTGAGAAGGGTTCAGTAATAGGGTTCAATGGAGCCAAATTCAGCATCAGCAAATCAAAACAAACTTACCGTGTGACATTTTACACTAGCAGATTTTAGAATTACTTCAAACATATTCCTGGTGATATAAAAGTGCGAATGGACCAAAACATTTAAACTGTGTTGTAGACCTTGGAATTGCAAAAATGTGATCATGAGTGAGGAACCGCAGAAACGTTTATGGGGCAAAAGCAAATAATTATTTCTTAATGTTGCAGTAATTCATATACATTCTCTGTTTTCTGCTGCTGAATTTGTCTCAATGGTTTTTACCATTAAGAAAAAAGCTCTGTTGAAAATTTGTGCTGGAATATGTTCATCCTTTTTTTGATCGATATTACTGAAAATCAATTATGAAAAAAATGGATTTTTCTGTAAATTAAAAAATATTGGAATGCTTACAAGTGAATAGCTGTATTATTACACTAGACTGACTGATCTCATTTTATTCCAGGACATAAGTAGACCAGACTTGCTTGAGGGTGGTGCTTTATTCATTAAAGCCCTCAATTCTTTTGAGCAACAGGTAAGTTTTGGATGCTACTTGATTTCTTAAGAAACTTGAAATTGCTACAGAATGGTGGAGCAACATGAAACCAATTTCATTTCTCCTCTGTCTGTCACAGGAGAGCGAAGAGAAACTGCTGTTGAATGAAATACTAAATCTGTACATTAAGATCTTTGACAACATGAACAACGTAGAAGAGGACAAGACTCTGGCTGAAAGAATCCATCATATAAAGATACGTCTGAGTCATCTGAAAAATGCAACGTTCCAGGAGACATCAACCAACCTGAAGCAGCAACTTGAACTGCTTTGGAACATTAAGGTGAGGGGAAAAATCAGCTTGTCTTAAAGCTTTTGTCTGTTGTCTTAGCATGGAATTGCTGAGGCAGACATGGTTGTAGTTTTTTTGTAGGACAAGTTCACCCCATGCGGGATTAGGAGTCTCAAATATTTGGGGCCCCCTATACTGCTGCTATGAATCCTTGTCACTCAAGAAACCAACTAGTATGTGATTGCTGTATCCTTCATTTCATCATAAAAACTGCAAAACACCACAGACTGAATATACATTGACACACACTCCTATAGCCTGCATACTTTGTATGTCTTGCTGCATGCCTTTCTTCATTGTGGTTTGCAGACCCTCTGCACAACATGCCCTTTATTTAGCACAATCAACATATTGTGACCATCGTGACTCAGCCTCTGGGCATCCTGAGGCTTTGTTTGACAAGCCCTGGACCAACTGCACATTTAACTTTGTGTGAGAAATCTTGTAGAAATTCTGATTGCAATGGGTTTGCAGATCTACACTGCTGGAGGCAGCAGCGTCAGTCATTTGTGCACTACTTTTCATCCAGCGAGGTTGAAAGTTCACGCCAGTTTTCCTTTCTTGTGAGCGGGCCTTCCTTTGACAGCAGATGGATAAGTGGCATGAAGCTTATTGTCTTTAAATAATGCATGAGCAGGTGGAGGTCATCACATTTCAATGTAACACAATCATAACACATTCAATTATTTGTGGCAGCAAGGATATGAAAATGACAGCTCACAATCTTGAATTGGGAAATTCACCCAACTTGTACTTTTACTATTCCTATCAAAAGACACTTTTTGGATGTGCTAAAAAACGTTGACAAATCCTCCGAAATAGTTATTGGAGAAATTGTCAGAAGAACAGCAGATTTTAATGCACTTCTATTTTTTTTTTCACTTTCAGGTGAATGACCCAGTAGTCCAGCGCAAGGCTGTCTTTGAGTTGAACCAGGTGCTGCAGAAAGCTGAGAATGTTGGGAGAAAAATGCATGAAAAGAAGGAGAAGCAAAGAAGAAGGCGGCAAGCTAAACTTTTAAGGAGAAGAATGCAGTGATTTGTTAATTCTTGATGCTGACAGTGTCGTCATTGACTGTTCATATTTATTGAGATTAATTTAAAACTATTTATTTAATTTATATTTATAACGTAACTAAAATCTAGGACACAGCTCTATATTTAAGTTATTTATGCAACCTGTTCTGTTTTTTCTAAGGGAAATGTAACAGGTTTTACTTGAAAAAAAATTAAGACAATGCAAAGCTTTTTTGTGATAAATCACATTATGTATGGTCTATGACTAATTTAATAAAAACTGAAAACATACTGAAAAGGCATAAATCATTATAATGGAAATACGCTTTCACATCTTCATACAACAATATAGTTGTAAAACTGATCACCAATTAATGGGATGTTTTCTTACTGAAAGTAATAGGTGTTGCAGACTATCTAAATGGCATATCAAAAGTTGTGTGTTTAGCAACACATGCAAGACCACACACTCTATGATAAAGTAAACTTAAGGATTCTCAAGCAATTACATGTATTATGCAAACTATACTACTAAATCGATGGATTTTAGTTTTAAAGTTAGAAATTAGGAATTAGATTAGGAATAGATTTTAGTGTACAGTATGTATGCGTTTCTCCCAATGACTGTACTATAATCAGCTTCAGAAAAATTTGCTGCTGTTTCACATCAACTCAGTGATCTCAATCTGAAATTGGGATAGAAAAACTGATTTATAGTAGATTGTCTGGATTTATCTGGATGGAAATTTAATTTTTCAAGTGGCTTATTGTAATTTAAGTCAATTCGCATCATTCTTAGATTACCTACTTTTTATAACGCCCCAGTGACGGAACAGGACCTTTTTCCTGACCTATTTGTGATGTTTAATTAATTACCAATGACTTATATTCACTTGTACTTCTGTAGTTCGCTTAGATCATAATGAATGCGATAGCAAGACGAAATGTATAGAGGTTATTTGGTGCAACTCACCTAACTGAGGAAATGTAAGCCCAAACAAAAGGATAAGGCTGCCAAATGTCCCATTTACGTTTGCGAGGAATGAGTTAGGGAGCCTCTGCAAGAGTGAGATGGAGTGGCGGGAGGGTATGAAAGAAATACACAAAAGGAACGTTAGAGGGCAATATACTGTACATAGAACAGTGGAACCAGGGCGAGAATGGGTTGCAACGTTCCTCTCAAACTCCAGTTATAAACTCCATTTTATGTGTCCTGTCATTGGGAGGAAGCACTTGACAGCTAAGTGGATGTGGAGGGTGAAGACAAGGAAAAGAGGTTTTGTTTATTCCTTGTTAAATGTTAAACAGATGAAACAGAAAAATGACAATGATGATATCTTTATGGCCTTCAAGAAAATCTTTGATAATGAAAAACAGTACTGCCTTCTCAGTCAGTTAGGATTTGTTGAAACACAAAGGATGAAGACATCAAATGCAATGTACATGAGAACAGTTACGAAGAACAGAAGCCATTTGGCCCATCTAGCCTGTTTGGTAAACAGGAACTAATTGATCCAAGGATTTCTGCCTGCCATTTCTTGAAAGGAGTCAAGGTACTGACTTTGACAGCATGGCTGGATATCCTTTTCCAGACTTCCACAAGCCCCTGGATAAAGAAGTGCTTCCTGTTCTCAGTTTTATTTGTACTTCTACATACTTTCAATTTGTGTCTTCTGACAGACACTTTCAAGGCAATATACACTTTCTAATAATCAGTATCTTCAACATATAAGATACATTTTGTTCAAAAAAGCATTACATTTTACGCTGATCCTTTCCATACAATAACATCTGTAAGGATATAGCAATTCAATAGATAATGCTTGGTGTTCTGACAGACATTTCTTATTTTCTACTATGGGGTGAATTTACTTAGCAAGTATGTATTTATTACAACTAAATGGCAACCACTGGAAATCCATTTTTAGAAAGCTGTTTAGTAAACTGTAAGAAAATGCAAAATAATAACACTAAAATCCATTACTGCTAAATGATAGACCAAGGGATATTCCTACATTGATGTATCAAATATGAATTTACAGATGTGACTAATTCAATGGCTACAAACAGTAACAGATGATAAATACAACTTAAAAACTACAAACATGCATTATTCCTTTTGTTAATTTGAAGATACAAGCTTTAAGTAATAGGTGCTGGCTTCACCAGTGAAGTGGATTGGGCTGATTTTTTTCAATACTGTATTCTGAACAGAGAGGTACTTCAGACTTGAATGGAATGTCATCCCAGGAGACAACGAGTCTTTCTTTATTTTTTCTTTCCATGTGCACTTATTTGGCACATACATGATTTCTACCTAAGGATGATGCCAGTTATCGTCACTGAGGTAGTATTCTGCAAATCAAATAAACATTGAATTAATAATGATCCTTATTCTTTCAGCTTGTGGTCAAAGTCTAATTTCAGTTAAGAGAACTCATGTAATTACATACAGTACATGAGGCCTTGGCCTTGGGTCGCTCTGTTTGAGACACCTGCTTACACTGATGGCTTGCTTGATTAGTGATGAACCCAGGGTTCAGCTATAGCCACTCCCACCATCAGGTGAAACCAAAAAAAAGTTTTAGGGAGGAGCCTCTGAGAGGCCCGAGGTAATGCAAAATATACATGTTTTCAAAGTAGAAGCAGGGACTGGAGACCATTATCTTCATTTGGTGAGAGCTAAGTTTCTATTGTGACTAAAAAAGCATCTACAAAATCAGACAGCCTGTAAAGACCAGACGCTTTAGTTGTTCTTAGAAAGAGTTTTCTGACTCACCAGGCTTTAGCTTAGCAACAGGATGCTTTGGGTAGACCTTGGCTGAACATACCCAGACAGAAAAAACAGCCTTTGTTAGATGAAAAATTTAAAACATTTTTTAAAACCACAGTTGAGGAAGAGGAGATCAAGATTAAATAATGGTTAAAACAAAGGATGTATGTGCCCATTCAAATATGGGGGTTGGCAACCTGAAAGCAGAAACAAACTGAGATATCAGTCTTTACCTGGTATATGTTAAAGATGTACTCCTATAGAAATTTAACACATGAAAGGTGTTTTCCAGTAGGATGATGCTTGACTGTGGTATTTATTGTTTTTTGCAAACTGTTTTTAAGCCCTACTCTAGACAAAAGTGGCAAATGAACTCTTGTAACAGCATCTAGTCAATGTGCAGAAATAAAAGCCAATGTCTGGAAGCGGAAAAATCACACCTGATCTGAGGAAATATCTCGCAGCTCTGCATATTACTCAGCTCTTTGAAAAACAGCCTGTCTCATCTTGCCTACGCATTGTTGTGTTATATGAAAACATTGCACAAAAAGATGCTGCTTTAAACATTGTTTCACACAGACTTTTGCACATTTTCCAGATATAAATGAGAGCAGGCTAAATCTGTTTGACATTTTTATTGCTTTCCTTCATCATCTAGATGACATGAATTGTTTACCATGAATACCCAAGCCTTCACAAGTCTTTCATAAGTAGCTTCTACACACTCATTGCTTCCAGAATAACATACATTCAGAAGAATTAAAAACAAGAGGAGGCCATTCAGCTGTTCAAGCCCTTCTGGTAGTTAGTTGCTTTTCTTGAAAGCTGCCACCATACCAGCTTCAACAACATGACTGGATAAATTGTTTGTACTTTCCCATTTTGTATTGTGATGCTGCAAAGGCGCCCTAGAGGGGCATTACTTTCCCCTGAGGATTCCTATATTTTCTTGAAGCTTTGAAGAGGGTGGCACACAGCTCACAGGAAACTGGACACCGATAATCACCAGAGCACGCATCAACTAAACACCCTGCTCCAGGCCAGATAAATAGACCTCTGAACCAGTATGGGGGAGAGACAACCAGAAGCAGAAATACAGGTACAGTACTTTCTTCTCATCGTATCAGCTTCTGCCCCAGATTACATTCTGCTAAACCAGCCTCTATGCTGAAGACTTTCACTTATGTTTTTCCATCACTCAATCTCAGCCTTAGGGCTGAAGAGTAGTGTTAGTATTACTGCAACAGCCCTTGTCACAATGCAGGCTGTATATTTCACTTTTGCCCCAGTCCAGGCTAAAATGTATTCTTTTTCCAGCCTAGGGGCAAACAAGCAGCTTGGCTGCACTTGCACCAGCAGCCTGCTACAGTGCTGGCTGTTTATTGTTCTACCCAGCCTTAGGGCTAAAGAACAGGTTGCTGCTATTACCACAAGCATTGTTACAGCACGGGCTGTTTATTCATTTCACTACAGTCAGGCTGGAAGCTCCAACCCCCCAGCTCCAACCCCCCAGGTTTTCACCAAACCAGCCTCAGGACTGAAGACTGGCGAGTATTTTCCTCAACCGTAGACTGGTTTACCCTTCTGCTATTCCGGGTACAGCAACAGTAGGGACACATATGGTATAGATACAGTACAGATTATATAGTGTAGCTTTCAACCGGTAAACTACTGTTTAGCTTTAAGATTTATGTGTGGGTTGTGCCCATTTTCAGTACCTAGAACCTGTGCCCCTATTGTGTGCTGACCCTCATGGCATCACAATATGTATAGTTTATATTTGTGCTACCTGAATGTAATATTTTGCACTTTTATTTTATGTTATTACATGTCAGATTCCAGGTGTCTAGTGTGCTATTTTATAAAAACCTTTTTCATAATTTTTGTTATAAAAACAGGACTAATTTACTAACTATACCAGAATCTAAATCAATCATATTAATTAGGAAGACAAGTATTCCTATCCTGACACAGATCCTTGTCACTCCACTCACATTACTTACTTACCAATTAATCACTCCAGATTGATCATTCACTCCTTAACTGTGCTCTTTGTTTTCCATAACTAACAGATTATGAAAAACTTAATTAAAGGATTTCTGAACATAGAAATATTTCGTATCATATGCTCTAAGAAGTTAGTTAAGCAAGACCTTAGTTATCTAAATCCATGTCTGCTAATATCTTGAACAATCTCTGCACTAAAGAATTTTTAGGTACCACACCACAACAATTACTTTAGTAAAAAAATCATTCCTGTGATCATCTTTATTCAAACGCAAAAATATTTTCCTAGATTTACATGTCACTGCTCAGCAGTCTGTTTATGTCACTGCTCAGATGTCTTTAATTCTGTTAGAACATATCAAAAACATTTTGGTGATAACTGCTTTCTTTCAATCTCTGTGCTTGGTGGAGTGCTAAACAAAAGTCTCCAGATGGGGAGGAATAATGGAGAATGTTTGTAACTGTATATAAAAACTCTTTAGAAAACTGCAGCCTGAA